GGTATAAGACACCCTACAATGAAACAACATTGCCTCACAACACTACAAAAAGGGGGTAGAAATTTATCAGTTTGGAACTCACCCCTTGGGCACTCAAGGAATAAATTTAATTGATAATGAAATAATAGACAAAGATCATGAGGACCACGGCCATTCTGCTTTGATCTACTATAAGTTTAGGTTAGGATCTTATGCATTACAAAGTTAGGTAAGTCACAAGCGGACTATAAAATGGTTAAAAAATATAATGGCCTATTCAATAAATTTAAATAACCCTGTCTAATTATTAAAAAATAGAATAAATTTAAATAACCCTGTCTAATTATTAAAAAATAGAAGTTTAGTGACAATGAAGAAGAAAACGAAGAAGGAAAAGAATAATAATAAATAAAGATAAGAATAAGATGATGATGATGATGATATGAAAACATCTATTATAATATTTAGAAAACTTACCTTTTATATTTTGAAGAGCTGTCCCATAATGCATTAACATCATACCCTGTTCATATGGTGTTCCCTGTATCTTGCTTGAATTAACACATGCCTCATAGAACTTAACTGCAGAATGCTTCGGTAAAACATTAATCAACAGGTAGTCAGCTTCGCACGCAAGCTGGATGTACCTGTTGTACCGGGTTTTGTCAGAACAGTTGGCTGCTTCAATCAATAGCTTGTCGATGTTCTGTATTTCTTGAGCAAAAAGTGGAAAGATCTTTTCCGGATTTTTATCCACCTCCGGTGTTAAACCTGTCTCTTATACACATCTAGATGTGTATAAGAGACAGTATATATATATATACATTTATATATATTCTAATATATATATTAAAATGTAGTTGTTGCTTAGCAACTTGTCTGTTTGAGATATTTATATACATATATATATGTACATGTAAATATATATATATATGTATATGTATATATATGTATGTATATATATATATTATTTCCATCATTTACCTATTTCTTTTATGTGTATATATAACCGTACAATAAAGAAATAAACTCTAAACCGTATTGTTATAAAGCTATAATACAACAATCTAATAAGAATATATATAACTCTTTGTATATACTTAATGGTATAAAGGCTATTATATACGTGCAACAAAAAAATTCATTATTAGACAATATTGTTAACCACCATTATCATATACACGTATATGTACGTTTAACAGTTTCCAAAACAAACTAAAACACAATGTACTTCCTTTTAACGTTGAACATAAAATATAGTGACGTGTTGGTGTTTTGTTTCTCTGGAGTTTTCGGTGACAACGAAATATTAGTGAATAGCTTACACATCGCCTTGGGTAAAGTTAAATACAAATTGGAGTCATGGTAACGAGACGATAAACTGGACGACATGTCCAACCCGTATTAAAAACAACAAAACACGACATATTCCATCTAGCTGGGCTTTTAATATTTTGATGATACTTAAAACACGCAAGTAATTAAAACTTAATCCGGTGGTAAGATCATGCCCTGACTTAGTAGAATAATTTCATTAAGTAGAGATGATGATGCCTAGAAAATCCTGCCTTTCGATAAGAAGCTGATTATCCTTAGAAGGAGTGAATGGATGTATGTAATTCTAGTTGAACAATTAACAAGAAAGCAATTTCTGCATTAATAGACTAAGCCTAATTTCTGCATTAATAGACTAAGCCTATTTAGCAATATTTTTTCTTAAAATCAACACACTTCAAAAATGCCGGCTCTAAATCGATGTATATGTAGGATTACATTGCTAAAATTTGAAAAAAATGTAAACTTTCATTAAGAAAGATAATTTGGTGATATTTATTTTGTTTTGCGTCAAAAACAGATCCACTTCCTGATTTTTTACAAATCCAGACAAATCCAGCATCTTTATCCGTCTCTTTATGAGGCAGGGAGTGGAGTTGCTTTTGTCATGCGAAGTCCTGCCGTGACAGGAATTGAACCCATGACCCTAAGATTCAGAAGGCAAGCATCTTAACCACTAAGCTACTCCACTACGAGACCACTACGAGTCAAGTGTGATTTCTGTTCTTTGCAGATTAGCCTTTTCGTTTATCATTTGAGATCATAGGTCTACATTCGGCAGATTAGTCTTTTCGTTTATCATTCCATTGAGATAATAGGCCTACATTCTGCAGATTAGGCTTTTCGTTTATCATTCCATTGAGAGGCCTACATTCGGCAGATTAGGGCTTTTCGTTTATCATTCCATTGGGATCATAGGTCTACATTCGGCAAATTAGGCTTTTCGTTTAGCATTCCATTGAGATCATAGGCCTACATTCAGAAGAGGCTTTTCGTTTATCGTTCCATTGGGATCATAGGTCTACATTCGGCAAATTAGGCTTTTCGTTTATCATTCCATTGAGATCATAGGCCTACATTCAGAAGAGGCTTTTCGTTTATCGTTCCATTGAGATCAAGGCCTACATTTGGCAGGCTTTTCGTTTATCATTCCATTGAGATCATGCCTACATTCTGCAGATTAGGCTCTTCGTTCATCATTCCATTGAGATCATAGGCCTACACTTGGCAGATTAGTATTTTCGTTTATCATTCCATTGAGATAATAGGCCTACATAGCTCAGATTAGGTTTTTCGTATATCATTCCATTGATTATAGGCCTATATTCGGCAGATTAGGCTTTTCGTTTATCATTCATTTGAGATCAGGCATATATTTGGCAGATTAGGCTTTTTTTATGATTCCATTGAGATCATAGGCTTTTCGTTTTTCATTCCACTGAGACTACAATAGGCCTACATTCGGCAGATTAAGCTTTCCGTTTATCATTTCATTGAGATCAATGCCTATGCGGCCCCTAAGCCATGAATGTACTGAACCTAGCACAGCCATCCCGAGGGCCTGTCGGTTGACTAATCGTCTCCCCCGCAGTCTGTTAATTGCCTAGTTTTGCCAAATATTATGGCCAAGCGATCATCATGAGGCCGCAAGATATTATCCTTCATGTGATTGGAATATATGGCTCAACTTTAAGTTTGGTATTGGTGTTGATATTACTTGTGGAGCCGATTTATTGTATATTGTACAGCGAAATTGCTTTTTTTGTGTGATTTTATCATAAAGTTATTTATATTTCATCTAAAACATAAGTTATTAAATTATGTTATGTCTTGGGATCAGAAGGTAATCATCTTAACTACTGAGCTATTCATCTCCACTCTACTTTCTGGCGACCACTACGAGTCAATACCATGTTTGTAATGTGATTTCTGTTCTTTAGTATTCAAGTTTTCGCTCTTCGTACGCTGGTCACTTAAATGCACGATAGAGCTACTTGCTCGGCCCCAGCCAACTGAACGGAGGGAGGAAGCAGTGCGACCCCTAAGCCACGATGATGCACTGAACCTAGCATACCA